AGGCTGCTGAATCGAAATTTCTACCTGCAGAACCCAGTAACCTCCATTTTGAAAACGTAAGTAGATGCTTCTCAGCACCATGCTCTAGGACAACATTTAGTGACATGTGCTGCACTAAGCTCATCTGGTCTCCTCATAGTCTATGTCTATGCTCTAGGTTCTTAACCCTTTCTTGCATGATAAAGTTTCTAGATGCTTGGTGATCTTAGTTTTCTTCCTATGGATACTCCATAGTTTATCAAGGTCCCTATTAAATTTGGCACCCAAATTAAACTTGCTCTTATAAAAATGGTTTATTAATGCAGAACATAGAGGGACTGTTACCTTTCTTGGTCTATCTACCACTTATATTAAAGTAATTTAATGCTACCATACTTAGCAATTACATAACTCTGTTGGTTCATAGAATGACTGGAATCATTCTAAATCTAAATTAAAAATCTCAAGTCACAGATTTTTTTTTTATCACTTGAACACCTATATTTGTGCCAATTTAAATGCAAATTTTTATATTTATCCCTGTTAGATTTAATTCTGTTAATATGCCATCTTATTAAGATCCTTTTCAAGTTTGGTGTCTTACCTATCCTATAAGTCCATTCATTGATGGCTTTATTCAGCATGAAAAAGCCTCTAATAGAGAGCCATAGTTCTCTGTTTTTTAGCCTATTCTATTTAAGGTTTTTATGATTGACTTGGATGAAGATAAGCAGAGCACCTCAGGGGAATCTGTGCCAAAGTATTCAAAGGCACAGAGATGCCAATTTTTACAAAAAAGAAAGAAAAAGAAAGGAAGGAAGGAACGAAAGAAGTTGATTAGAGAATTATTTTATATTTTTAAAAAATATGAAATAGAGTGGAAATTCACATAGTTATTAATTAAGACAAAATAATTCAGAGAAACATCTCTCTTTTGGCAGCCACTTAGGATAATTGCCCTGGTTTCTCAGATGTACATGTTTACTTTCCCCTTCCATTAGGAATATTGTGTGGAAAAGTTTGAGAAGTACCTACTTAAGATATCCTATTTTCATGTCCTCTGCAGAACTGAGAAGTCTGTGTTCATCCAGTCATTTACAAAAATGCTAAATAGGGGAAAGGCATCCTGACAAACACTTTCCCGTGTTATTTAAAGACATTACTAGACATTTTTGAGAGGAAGCAACCCTTAGTACTCCATCAAGGAAGGACAAATAACAATAGCTAGCTACTATTTGATTTTCAAGCAGTCCTTTGATCTATCTGCCTAGTAACCTCCTAAAAAATAAGCCATACTGGTTTATTAAAGCTTCTCCTTAGTTGACATTTGTTGGCTGCGAATGACCATAACATTCATTTCTGCATGCTCAAAAACAAGCCTTTTAACAATCTGTTGTCAGTTCTGCATGCATGAATCAAGGTGCCCATAATTTCCAAAACCTACCCTATTCTAATCTTCAAAAATAGAGATGAAAGTTAGTCATTAATGATCTGTGGTATCTCTCCTATTTGCCATGACTTTTCAAAGACTACTAAACAGTAGCTCTGAGATTATGGCTGAAAATTCTGTTACCATCATAGTAATTTATCCGGCCTCATTTAAAATATCCTGGAGTTAATTTACTAATCCCTTACCTATCTTGGGCTAAAATTTTCACTTTTCGTAGTTTCTTCTCCATATTCAGTTGAAAAACCCATTTAGAAAAGAGAAGAAAAAATAGGAGTTGAATGATTCTGCTACTTCTTTGATATACTTTCTCTTATCATCTCTAAACAGTAGACTTATTATTTCCTTTTTCTTTTTAACAACTACAACAACAGAAAAGCCTTCCAGTTCCTTCTGGCCAACTTTACCATATTTTTGATCCTCAGTTTATTGGGGGCCCTAGTTTATGGCACTTTCATAATAGATTTGCTACACCTCTACCTTCATCCTTGATTACTCTTCCTTCTTTATATCTTCTACATATATTATTTAAACTTTCAGATGAGTAGACAGCCATTCAACTTTCCTGAGCTGTCTCCTGTTTTATTTAAATTATTTCACAATTATTCAGCTAAAAGTTCTTGGGTTTTTAAAATCTCCCTTTGTTGGGGTGCCTGGGTGGCTCAGTCGTTAAGTGTCTGCCTTTGGCTCAGGTCATGATCCCAGGGTCCTGGGATCGAGCCCTGCATCAGGCTCCCTGCTCAGCGGGAAGCCTGCTTCTCCCTCTCCCACTCCCCCTGCTTGTGTTCCCTCTCTCGCTGTGCCTCTCTCTGTCAAATAAATAAATAAAATCTTTAAAAAAAAATAAATAAATAAATAAATAAAATCTCCCTTTGTTAGCCATAATCCCTTTTCGAGACTCAAGTCTGTGGGTCAAAAATTTTTTGTCTTTGGGGCGCCCGAGTGGCTCAGTCGTTATGCGTCTGCCTTCAGCTCAGGTCATGATCCCAGGGGCCTGGGATGGAGCCCCGCATCAGGCTCCCTGCTCAGCGGGAAGCCTGCTTCTCCCTCTGCCACTCCCCCACTTGTGCTCCCTCTCTCGCTGTCTGTCTCTCTGTCAAATAAATAAATAAAATCTTCAAAAAAAAAAAATTTTTTTTTTTGTCTTTGACCTTTTGTAAAACTTTCCCAAAGTTCAGGACACTTGTCTGACTCTAGAGTCCAGGGTTTTCTTTTGTGGCCATCATAAACCATGAGCTTGGAGTTCTCAACATTTTTTATATCGTAGCACATCATTTATGATAGTCTCCCATGTGACACACCCTCACCATTTACCCAAGTTTTACAAACCTCAAATATACCTTGTCTGAAAGTAAAACATTGTAATCATATTTGTCACATATATTTGCTATATGTCAGTTCTGATTGCTCTCTACAATGCTGGTAGTGACATTGAGAAACAGGCTCTTGATTACGTAGACTTTCACGCTACTTGCTACGTCAACCTTTTCCTCCCACTCAGGAAACCATACCTGTAAGAACGTAGGAGCAATGATACCATCAGATATCATTTGACTACACTCAAGTGTATGTATTTTTAGAAAGTAGCTGATTTACAATTTTAGTTCTTTCACTATTAGTAACACATTACTTAGGATTCACTTCCTGGGCCAAGACCATGAAGCTGAAGATGACAGAGATGATTTCTCCCCTCCACACCAGCAGCTAGCTTTTCCTCATTGGTCAAAATTAAATGCAGGCCTCACTTGATTTTGGTTATGAAGGCAGTCAGTAATTTACCTGATCAGGGTGGGCCAAGTCTCCTTTCTTAACAGATAATCCTCCTTTGTACAATCTGGGTGCCACTTGCCTCAGTAGTCCGTAACATTCTCCAGTAGTCATTATTTCTAACCTGGTAGTACTTTGGCAGTCTGTATGAACATTTTAAATATGGCAGTGAATTCCATCATGTCTTTAGAGTAAAAAAATGCAAGTTTTTGCAGTCTTCTAATTTAAAATAAGTTGATCCCGACAGAATTTGAAGCTAGACATAAAATTGTCTGTAAAAGGTATTTTTCTAACAAATCTTAACAATGCATACTGAATTTAAAACTGTTAGATGATGAGACAATGCACTCAGTGATGAAAGCACCAAGGACAAACAGGCTGGAAAGGAAAGAGAAGGAAAGGAGAGGAAATTATACATTTGGGCATTTTGGACAGGCCTTCCATCCATGCTGGTCTCCTCCTAATATACAGAGTATGTCTAAACTGGAATTCTTTTTCCTTTTTAATTAAGAGCCATCTGGAATGAACAATTTTTCATTGTCCAGCTCCTTGTATTATAATATCCACAGTATGTTACATTAAAGCCAATCTATTGCTTATGCAAAATATAGGATTTTCTTAGAACTTGCTTCTCAGAATATTTCAAGACTCCTGACACACCTTAATAAATACATTCTGTACTCCAATGTCTCCAGTGTAAAGAGAATATAATCTTTAGTAAAGGTGGTGATAAACTTTTTTTTAAAAAAAAAAACCCTAAATTTTATGTACAAAGCCCCTTTCCTATCTGTGTGCCCAACTCCAGTTCAATTTCCCTGATGTTTTTTACCTAGAAAATTTGACCAAGTTAATTGATTGAAACTGCTCTTCAGAATCCTAAAACATCCTTTTCAGATCTAAAAAAACCTTTCAAAGTTCTTCCCTGTAGCCAGGAAATCAAAATATAACATGGCAAAAGACAAACAGCTTAGCTGTGGTCCTTTGGCTACCTGAATATCTTCTGACAAAGCAGAAGGGAAAAAAAGAAATGAAGGAAGGAAGGGGGAGGGAGAGAAGGAGAAAAGGAGAGGAAGAGAAGAGTAAATATCACAATATTAGATTGTTTCAAAATGAGAACTTATTTTTTTTTAAAGATCCATACAGTCTATTAGCAAATGTATTAGGATGCAATGGTTAATATTTTTAGAATTGGCCTTAATATTTTCATGATCCTCTTTTTAAACTTCTTTTTGTTAATACCTATATTTCTAAGGATAAAGGAAGATTTTTTCTTACAATATTAATACAACTCTACAGTCTTGTAATGCATAATGGTACCAAGAGTTGGAGCCCTCCCTCTCCATTGGGTTGGACTTAACCTTAGTGAATGCAAAATTCTGTACTTTCTCACTTTCGCCCACTAGGCAACGGCAATAAATACCCACAGCAAATACCATAAAGCACTTCAAACATGATGAACATCAAGGCTTAGCTGGTTATACTAATCTTTCTTCACTTCCCAGAAAAACTATCTTTTTAAAATTCAGACTTCACTTTTTTACAACAATTCTCACATCAATTTATTTTTAAGAACTAAAACATTACCCTAAAACATACTATTAACTTATTAAGCACTACCCCAAAAATTATTTCTATGGACATCTTCCACACAACAAAAATCAAGACTGTTTGTTTTTTCGGTTCAGAAGTCGCATGGTAGCTTTTAAGTAATCTCTCCACCCAACATGGGGCTCGAACTTACAACTCCGAGGTCAAGAGTTGCAGGCTCTACTGACTGAGCCAACCAGGTGCCCCTCACAAGGTAATTTTTTTTAAAGCACAATTAAAAGCACTCCATTTGTGATTTTCATAGAGGATGTGAAAGTCTGAACAAAAGTCATCCAATCAGAGGGTCAACTACATCCTCAGATCCTTAATTGCGTGGAAGAAATTTTGTGGAGTTCACATGTACCTAAGCTGTAAAACCTTAGCAATAATACTCTGGCCTCGAACCTTCACTTTTAAAAGTCACCTGAGATTCCACACTTGACCTAGAACAAAGCAGCAGTTTTTCTGAATCATCTCTATGCCTTCGCGTCCAAAGTTCCCCTACACTTTGAGACCTGGGGGACAGGGTCTCAAATTGGATATAAGTTTCTTTTGCCAGATCATCTTCCCAGAAGGATTCTGACCTACATTGCAGTTTACAAACTTTGTACAACAGGAAAAAAATCAATGGCAAGACAACAACACAGGCAGTACCGCTCACCACGACAAGAAAAGACACTCGAGAATCACCTTCTTCTTTAACTCTGTCAGTAGAAAAGGTAATACATTGGTCTTTCTGGGGAGGCACTCCTTTCGGACAGACACATGCTATGTATTGCCTACCAGGCTCCAAGCCATCTATGGTTACTTGGCTCTTGCTGGAGTCTGAATTCAGCAGCAGCAGGTCCTTCTCACCATACTTGGAGTACCATACTGTCATCTCAGACTTATGTGTGGTGTTGATGGTGTTCCACATCAAAGTCACACTCTCTTCAGTCTCACCGACTACCCTGAGATTTTCTATCGTGGCATTCTTTTCCATTGGCGTCGCTTGATCCACTGATGCCAACTCTTCTTTTTTACTTGCACTGGCTGAGGGAAGCTTACTTCCACCCCTCTCCACCTTTAAATTTCTTTCCCCATCTGGGTGGAGCTGGAGTGACTGCTGGCTGGCCATGGTGGGGCTTGTTGAAATTCTAGTGCTTAGAGTTGTGGCTGAAGAAACGATGGAGGAGAGGAAAGGAGATGAGGAGAAGAAAGCAGTGGAGGGAGGAAATGAAGTAGAAGTAGAAAGAAAAATGGAAGAAGCAGGGGAGGAAGAAGGCCAGGGAGATGACAGTGAACCAGGTATGTGTGTAGCTCTAGCTCCGGGCTGGACTTCTTCCTCAGGGTGATCTCCAGTTCTTTCAGAGGTATCTGATGATATGGTTGTCGTGACAACACCAACCACTGTCACAGTAACCACAGCTTCTGACATTCCAGCCAAATTTTTGGCCTTACATTTGTAATCCCCAGCATCCTTGTAAGAAATGCCTGTCAAGCTTATTATGGACCACCTGACTCCTTCCCCTGGAGATTCCTGAATTACTGTAAGAAAAAATATATATATACTCTGTGAGGGGAAAAAAAGGAGAAACTCAAGCAACATGCTAACCGATCTGGTTTTACATGCATCCCTTTCATATAAACCAAGAGGGAAATGGCACACTGTCACCAGTCTCTGATAGAAGGTGATAGTTCTGTAAATTGTCTACACGAAGGTCTAGGACATGTCAAGTACCATGAGGTCTGTATGGAGAATGGTATTTTAAAAAGACACAAGGGTATGAATTGGGAGACTTGGTTTTAGTAAACGTTTGTTCACAGTAACCTGTAATTTCAGACAAGTCAGTTAGCATCTTTAGGCCTGTTTCTGTACTTTTAAAATAAGGGGATAAGACAAAGTGATCTCAAGGATGCCCTCCAATTTTAACTCACTGTGGTCCCATAAAATGGTTTTTACAAGATCTTAAATATTTCCCCAAATATTTTTTCATTGTAATAAAATACTATCTATCTACACAGCCAGATGGCATAGCAGATCATTTTCTGGCATAGAGAAGTCATAATTAGTAGTCTCAGTCTTTCATTTTATATTTAATCTAGATAAATTAGTAAAACATGGATTCTTTTATTTGTAGAATAATATATAGTTTTTGCAAAATTGGAATTTTACTTTCCTAAACACTAAAACCTAACATATTACCATTCTGTCTTGATTTCTGAAGCTTTCTGTAGAATAATAATGTACTAAGCAGTATCTTAGTATCCCAAAATTTAACTTAATACCATAAGCTGTGGGCCATTTACTATCTACTTATAAGAATATTAGGGCTTAACTATTTCTTATTCCATCAGGTTTCATTATTTTTACTTTGATTTACATTTAATTTTAAGGAGTTTTTAAAATATGTATCACTTTAGTTCATCAGAATATCACTATTGAAACTAAGGCCAAAACATTGAGTTGCTCATAGTAGGATCTAAAAAGTCTATGTAACCAATATTTCTAAAAATTATACTTTTTGCTTCATGATAAGGTTTGCATGTAATTTATTATTTAAATGATCATTCAAAACTGAGAAACCTGTATGAAAATCTTTTCTAAGAAAACTGTAATAGTTACACATTTTAAAGTGAGCCATATCCAAGATGATGCAGCAAGACAAAGGGCCTTACTTGCAATCATCCAGCCACTAGATCATGTTGTTTTCTATCTAAAAAAAAATCAGATTGTCTAATTTCATCTATGTAGTTAGATATACTGAGGAAAATATTAACCAATAAAATGAACCTTTCAAATTCCTTTCACCCAACAATCTTGGCATATTTTATTAGAATTAACTAGCCAATTTTGGGGGCACCTGGGTGGCTCAGTCGGTTAAACGTCTCCCTTCAGCTCACACCATGATCTCAGGGTCCTGGGATCTAGCCTGCATCGGGCTCCCTGCTCTGCGGGGAGTCTGCCTCTCCCTCTGCCCCTCCCCGTGCCCGTGCTCTGCCTGTCTCTCAGATAAATAAATAAAATCTTTAAAGACAGGAAAAAAGAAAATACCTGTATAATTAACTGGCGAGCTGTCGGATCTGGTCCAGGTGAGCTGTGGGGTAGGGTAGCCAGAAGCGTCACACCGCAGCAGAACATTACTGCCCAGAGCAGACGTGATCTGGGTGGCCGAGGTCATAACAGACGGCTTCACACACTGCTCCAGCTCAGCCCGCTGAAACAAAATCCCTGTCAGGCGCTCAGGCTCACTACAGATCATCAGTGGATCGAGAAGCACTACAGCAGGGTCCGCAACTTTTGACAGCTCGATCATTTTGGAAATGTGACAGTCACAGAACCAAGGGTTGTCCTGCAGACCTAAACCAGAAGGGAGGAAAAGATTGATAAAGGTTATTCTGTTGACTTTCGCTTACATCACAACCTCTTGGGCAAGCAGGGGTCTGCACTGTCTCCCTAAAAAGCAGAAGTGCTTTGAGAGATGAAATGGAATCACCTCCCTGTCAGTCTTGCCCTGCAGTTTGGCTACCTGAATGAACAGAGCCTGTCAGGTCAGGTCATTAGTGATCATAGCCAACATTTACTGAGCATGTACTCTGGACAAGGCTCTGTTCTAAGCACTTATCTGTATTGTTTCATTTAATCCCAAAAGATGAGGTAGAGGATTACTACTCCCATTTTAAAAATGAAGAAGCTGAGGTACAGAGAAATCAAATGATTTGAGCAGGGCCATATAGCTTAATCAGCATCCAAGCCAAGGTTTTAATCCAAGTACCACAGAACACTAGAAATACAGGGCTAGAGATAGTTCTAGGGTGCTAGGAAAGTACTAATATTATTGTAGATATTGGAGGGTGTAGAGAGGCACCTAATTCAGCCCACACTATGTCATGGTTTTGTGTGATTTGAAGACCTGTGAAGGTAGTACAAGTTCTGTGTAGCAGAAGTATAGAGTGAGAAGCACGCAATGTCAGGAGGTAAGACTGGAAACGGGCAGAGGCTGGAACAGAGCTTGGCATGAATGTCATGCGTGGTGGCCGAGAAGGTGCACTGCTCAAAGCCCCTTCATCAGAGAATCAGCAGCAAGGAATACAGTTAGCTGACAGCCTCCAATTGGAGGACTGCCTCCCTCAGCGTTCGGACTGTTAGCAGAAGTGTGTTGGCCTTCAAGGGGACCGTCAGTGAGAGCCTTCAAGGAAAGTGAGGAAAATGTAACTATTGGAAACTAGAGGAAAGGAGACCTTTGATGGAGTAGCAGAAAGTTGAGAAACACTGTCACCTGTGGTTAACATGGAAAGTATAAAGTGCACTCAATGAAACGAATGTTCTCGCTAAGGATATTTCCACACCAAGTGCTGAGAGTGCTACCTGGCGTCTTCTTGCTGCTCACGGTAAAATGGGAAAGGACAGACAGCAGGTAAGGAAGAACCGTTAAAGAGAAAGGAGCCGAAACTTGCTGGGTTCAATAATAAAACTGAACGTAGTAAAAAAAAGTAAAAAAAAAACAACCTACTTCTTACTCCTGGCCTCTCCAAAGTTCTCAAACTAAGAAAGGCCTTCTGAGCAAAAATCAGATCCAGGGAGGGTGAAACTATAAAATTATTTGCTAAGACTCCAGAAAGATCTCAGAGGGTGCTTCAGAGCCCTTGGCAGACAAAAGTCTCTAAGGATGTTAAGGGTGATGATGTCCCACAGCAGCCTCACATAAAGCCCAAGGCTGCAGGGGCTTTATCTCAAAAAGGTTTGTGGTTGTGGCTTTTTACCAGTAGAGTAGATTATACATTGATTAATAAGGAGAAAAGACAAAACTGCAATTTTTTAAAATGCTGACCATGTTGGAAGATTTAAACGTTCATTCGTAAATTCTTTTTACATCTATTTTTGTTTATATTTATGTCTATTTTTATCATAATAGCACTTCATGATGATTGGTTCATATTTTTCTTCCAGTATTGGTAAAAACTCACTGTTTTTTTTTTTTTATCTTCTATCTTAGAAATTTCATTTATGGGTGAATTACCTTGAACTTCTTCCTCTTACATTTAGTCCTATGAATCTATGACCAGTCTCTAATATCCAACTTGCCAGCAAACATCAAATTCATTCTGTCATGTAATAATTACTATGTGGGTAAATGTTATGCTCTCAAAACACTTGTTATGCTAGATTTTTGCTTTATAAAATAATAACAAAACAAGTTGACAGTTATTGATTGCTTCCTGTGTGGCAAATATTGTACTCTGTCAGGAATTGTAAAAGGGTCTGAGTTTTATCCTACTTTAGATGGCCAACACCTCTCAGTTGGTCAGAGATGGAGGATAGTTTACAGCTCTGGAGGAAGACATTATCTTCATTATACTGGGCAGTAAACATGCCTACCCTTTCTCTGGAGGGAGACATACCTTTACCTTCCAAAGCAGTTCTGTACACAAACATCCTTAAAAAGATAGTTGAGGACAAAAGACAGTCAGTGACGGCCTCTGGCTCACAAGACTTGCAGAAATATGAGAGGCCTTGGAAAATTATCTTCCAACAGTGCTAAGCATGCTAAAGGATTTGTCTACCTCAATCCTGACAATAGCTGAGGTAGATAACATTAGTACCATCCTCATTTTAAAGAGGAGAAAGCCAACACTCAGAGAGGTTAAGGGATCTGCCTGTGGTCATACAACTGGATATAGTCAGGATTTGAACCTTGGTATCCTGATTTTAAAGCTTTCATTCTCAAGTTTTACCTGTCTTACCTGACCTCAGGAAGTTAGTATGATTCTTTTGAGTTTCACATCAGAGAGGACACTAAAGCACAAAGAGATTATTGCCTTGATTCTGTAAGTAGCTTAGAATCCTGACTAAGTCCCAGATGTTTCAGCCTCCTAATCTAATATTCCTTCCACCATAACTCATTTCGTCACCTAAAAACATCTAGAGCCATAGGTGGCAGCTCTAAGTGCTATTATCTATAAACACATGTCAAAGCAGTGATGTCTGGAGCACAAATGTCTACATAGGGAAAGATCCAAGAACTGTAACATTAACAGTTTTATTCATGCTTTGAAACTATCATAAACATGTGTTAATGGTGAAATAAAAATTTTTTTAAAGATTTATTTACTTATTTGAGAGAGAAAGAAAGAGAGCACGCGTGCGCACATGAGCAGGGAGAGGGGCCAAGGGAGAGGGAGAGAGAGAATCTCAAGCAGACTCTCTGCTAGCATGGAGCCCAATGCGGGGGCTCCATCTTACAACCCTGATATCATGACCTGAGCTGAAATCAAGAGTCGGACACTTAACTGACTGAGCCACCCAGGTGCCCCAACAAAATTCTTTTAAAAATTAATCCGGGGCACCTGGGTGGCTCAGTTGTTAAGCATCTGCCTTCCGCTCAGGTCATGAT